GGCAGTGGCGGCTTGGTGGTACCTGCAGCCCACAGTCAGCAAAGGGTTGCGAGGTGGGCTGGGGGGTGTGGGCTGCAGCATAGGAAGAATCGCTTGCATGTTGGTGATGGGGGTGCTGTCTCTCAGCCTTGCCCACTGCTGCCCTCTGCTCTGCCCCTGGCTCTGCTCCACATGCAGGAACCCTGCTGGGACAGCTCAGAGCACTTGTATCCCACTGCTTGCATGACTCACCCAGCAATACATTGCTGCTGGTTGGGGCAGGCAGGGGCAGGGACTGGGTGCTACACAGTCGCCATATCATAACATTTCCTTGCAAATCACATTTTTTTGTGAAAATTACTTAATTTCATGATTTTCATGAAAAATACAAAATCATGATTTAAGCCAGGCCCTACTAACATCTGGTGAGATCTCATTGGAACAGCAACAGTAATACTACCCAACAGAAATGTTGCTCATGATACATCCTAGAACAGGGATGGGGAACCTCTGGGCCATCGGTCAACTGTGGACTCCATTACCTAGCTGCCCCTGCCCGCATGGCTTGTGCTGGTTTCCATGGAGACCTCAGTCGCACTGGTGGTGTGCATGGCAGAGCAGTGCAGGGGGCTGCTCCAGAGCTGCTAGGAATGTGGGATAGGGGCAGCTTGCTCCAGAGTTGTGATCTGTAGCCTGCACACTCCGGGCAGGGGCATGCAAGCAGGAGATTGTGGCTCTGCCCTGGCTCCAGACAGGCTGTCACTGCTGCAAGGAGCTGGGGCAGAGCCATGGTCCCCTGCATGTGTGCACGCAGGCTACAGATTGCAGCTCTGCCCTGGCTCCAGAGCAAGCTGCCCCCATCCTATGTTTCCAGCAGCTCCAGAGCAGCACCCTGCACTGCTCTGCCATGTGCACTGCCAGCACGGCTGAGGCTGGGGTCTCTATGGAGACCAGCACAAGCAATGTGGGCATGGGTGGCTGGGAAATGGAGTCCCCATCCAACCATATCATTCCCCATCCCTGTCCTAGAAGACAAATTTTGCTCTAATTCAGCTGAGGGCATGCCTTTATATAAGAGTATCTATGCCCTGTGGCCTGTTAGGGCCATTCTGCTGATGGGCTAGAATTTGTGCTGTGACTTAGGAGAAATTTGGAAACAAGCTAATTTTCTGACTACTGGCACTGTGGAACAGGAATAATATGCATGACCATGCAGTGATTGTTGCATAATATATTACTCTGTTAATAAACAAATGATCTAGAAATGGCAGTTAGCAGCTTTTCAACAATTTTGCCATTGCTAGGCTTTTGAATACATACAATGTTTATATCCTAGTAATTTTGAGGTCTGCAGCCCAGTTCTTCTCTGTAGGCAGGACCTCTGAGGTTGATTATATACTTCAGTCAAATTAAACTCCTCATTCATGGAGTGACATTGGTTCCAATCTATTTTTTTCAAGAGCTTTAAATTGTAAGGACATATTATAAAGACTTATTAAGGACACTTTAAAAATGTCACAAAACATACAATGCCATGGTAACACATGAAGGAGAGCAAATTTAGCCTTAAATCAAAAGAGGAGATGTATTTCTAGTGATGGATAGGTTCTTTGCTTCTATGGGAGGAGAAGATCGCATTGACCTTGAAGGATCAAACTAAGTTCAGAGCAGGGACACTGGATAGGCAATGATGTTACATTTGGCCAGAGACCCAGAGAAGTGGCATGCTGACACAGATACTTTTGTGCAACTTTCACATGCCCCATTGTTCCTGAATGACCCAGGGGATTAACCCTTCTGAAGCCTATACTCTGGTAAATGTGCTGCTGTTGGTCAGTTCATAATAGTGGAGTCACCCACTGCTGGAAGGAAAACTGAGCAGATGCTGCCACAGATTACAAAATAGAACTTGAATCAAAAAACCAGCAGAGGGTCATTTTTGAAAGCATGCTGCACTCAACAGTCTTCGAAGTTCTTGGCAGGTAAAAGCTTAAACTGAGGCAGCATTAATCTGTTGGCTCAGAGTATGGAAAGGCAAGAAAAACTGCTTTACAAAAGGAATGTTGCCAAAAGAATGTATGGTAACAGGAGTCATTTTACTAGTTGAGCTTTACTTTAGTAACAGTGGGTGCATCTATAGGAGAGACTAACGACACAGAAGCCTAGTAACTGGTGCTACTACGTATTGATTTAGCATTTGGTTATACAAGTACTAAACTTAATGTGCAGTAACTAGAGCACATTAACGAATGTGTAGATGCACACAGTGAAAGCAATTTTTTATGTTGCTGACCAAACTGAACTCAGATATTGAAGAAATATTATGACATTGTACCAATTACCACTAAAAAGTGTGAAAATTTGTCAACAACTACCCCACATTATGGTACTGAAGAGATTGCAATATTTTTCAATACTTAGAAAGGGATAAAGCCTCATGTAGAGTGAAGACATTCTGATTAGACAATTAACAAAATGGAGAATCAGAACTGTGGAGCTCAGTTCCCAGATCCACCCTCTGGCTTTCTGTGTGATTCTGGAAAATTCACTTGACTTATATGAGAAAATGGGCATACTAATATTTAGCCACCTCTATCCATCTCAATTAAATATGTACAGTGGTCATCATCTTCATTAGGTATTGTGAGAAAGTGTAAGTGTATAAAGTACCCTGAGGGCATTATAGTATATAATACTTATGGTGTCATGGTATCTCAAAATATTATGATTATGTACAACTCAGAAGAACAAGAAAACTATATACACTAGACAAGAGTAGGTTGGATTATCACTCTCATTCTGACTTTCTATAGAAGGGTGAAGGAAAAATTTGGTGGCCAAAAGAGAAGCGTAGGACTGACATAACACCATTATGCTGCTTGCTCTCATAGACAATAGAATAATGGACATTCTGGGCAGATCATCATCATAGATCTCAGAAGGACATCAACAGATAGGATAAAGCTGCCTTATGTTTAAACAAGACTAGCAGAAGAGCTGTATATCCTGTCCACATTAAGATTTATCAATAGGTTAGTTAATACATGCCTACTAGTACAAGTTAAAAGATGGCTGGATAATAAAATATGGATAAACACAGATGATGAATTAACTTGATTCTGGGTGTGTCTACACATTGCCATATAGTGACATTGCTACGTATTTCCTTTTGGAAGTGCTAAAACATGGCACAGCAACTGCCTGTAATATGCTGTGTGCACAGCGCACGGTTAGATTTTGCCGATACTTTGCCAAAGTAGCGCGAAGTAGCTGCCGATCACATGTAGACTTACATGATTGCTACGTCACTGTAGTGCATTGCTACAGCGACATGTAGATGCACCCTCTGTGAATCTTTTTTTTAAGCTGATAGAAGAGCATTTTCTTAGAGTTGCAGACAAAGACAGTGCAAACAGACATCATTCACATTCAAAGAGGAAAATGCATGCTTTAGCAATACTCAGTGTTTCTCCAGGGTTTTATGATCTTGTTGGACAATAAGTTACAGTCAAATCTTTGTTTCTAGATAAATGAAACATGATTATATTCTAGGGAGACCATTAAGAGATCTATTCCCTGCTGGATGCAACTATCAAAATCATTAATATTAACCAGGACTTGTGCACTGCAGTATTAAGAATAAATATCAGGCCCCAATATAGTAATATAAAGTGTTGAAGAGTGCAGGGAAAGAAGTGGAGGAGGGCTTGAAAGTATTTAATGTAAGGGCAATGCAGAAATTACAACTATAATCAATATACCTAATGAATAGTAGGAAAATCTAAGGATTAGAAACAGGAAAGCGGTAATCTGCTGTGTTCTAAAATAATACAGGAATAATTTCATTTTGTAGCTCCTATCCTCTGCTTTAAACAAGGGTCTGTCTCACAGGCTCTGGATCTCTAGCCAAACTAGTCCAAGACTTCCAGTGGATCACAGACATCTCAGCAACACAACTGAAATTAGTGCTAAATTGCAGATGTAGATCAGAATCTCCAGAGCTCATAGGAAGAGTTAGTGAAATTGCCCTGTGTCAGGTTTGTTGAAAGGTGCTTACAAATAGCTTTGGAGGCTTCTCTCCCCAAAGCAGATACAGTACAAGCAGTTACAGCAAGCATTTGCCTTATCATGCCTCAGGTCTTGAGAGGAACATTCATTTTCCATCCTATTTGTGGTTGGCCTATCTCTGAGACTTTAAAAAGAAAGCAACTGTGATGAGGAATCCTATGACGCAGACACATATCCACAAAGAACAGGACCGAAAATACCCGAGTTGTTTTATACAGGCCACCCCAAGCTGGATCCAAAAATCTGTTAGAAAAATATTATTATATTATCCCAATTTTAATCAAGGCTACAACCTTTTATTTTTAACTAGCTCTCATGCAACTTTCTTTATTCATACAGCTCTGTATCATTACCCACATTTTACAAACAAGAAACTAAAGTTCAATGAGGGGAAGAAGCTTGTCTGAAGTCACTTGACACCAAGTAGAACCTAGGTCTCCTGAGTCTGAAGTCTATTATATTCAATCAACTAGGGCAATGCCCCTCATGATTTTTGGCAAGAGTCTACAAAACTCAATATGAACTGAGGAAAATGAAAATGCAAGAGCTTCATATGAGTAGATTCATTTACCTGCAGTGTTTGCAAACCAAGCCTCACAGCACTGAGCCAATGCATTAGAGCCAGAGATTGAAGCTGAATATAAATAAACCAGTGTAGTTACACTGTGCCAGTTGAGAAAAAAACGGCAAGCAGCATAAATAATGGAAACTATATTAGAAATGCACAAGACTTTTTGCATTCTAATTCCATGGCACTATCAGTAACATGCACAAGGAAGGCTTTGTAATATTGTATGAAGACAAGTTAACCTGTTGTATAACTGCACTGATTTCAGTTGGTTAACATAATTAAGAGAGAACTAACAACAGTAAAATTGTATGAATGTATGGTTGTTTTTTTTTTCATTTGATAGTGCAGAGTGATACTTTCTGGAAACTTTTCTGTTTCGTACCTGGTAAAGTAGCTTGTGGCTTGGAGGTCTGAGTCCTGTGGACGAAGGTTATCATGCACATACTTGAGATCCTGGATGCTGTTGAGCTCAGGCAATCCTGCATGCAGCATCTATAAATACATAGGATCAGTCCAATAAATGCATTAAAAATCCTAAATGAAATGAGTTTAACTGAGAAAAGCATGGATTTATGGGGAAAATACTCTCTCCTTTTTATAAAATGCAAACCTCTCCTCATTTGAATGGTGCTCTGTAAGACTGGACCCCTGGATCACTGATGAGATGAATGCATTGTGGTGTTCACAACCTCACACTGAGGCAACACAAGAGGGGCATCTTCACATGGATATGGCCTCCAGTCTCTAGCAATTTCCCCCTTTCCTCAAAGCTACTTTGATCTTCCCAAGGTGGCAAAGGGAACTCCAGGCCAGGCCATGGAGACCAAGCTCAGTGGTAAATAATCACTGATCTGACAACAAAATTTTCCTCCTCAGTAAGACCTGCCCAAACACCAGTCCAGAATGGAAACCTTCCCTAATCCTATATACTTCTGTAATCCAAAGAGATCCTCAAAAAAACAACTTTTTGTTACATTAGTTCAAGTGCATGGAAATATGATGTTTTTTAAAATACATATGTTTGAACATGCAGTATCCCTTTAACCTTTTAGGTTACATTGAGATGAGGGTTGGATTGAAGTAAGAAGTGCACTACCAGGAATATCAAATATGACTGGCACACCTACCTCTAGTCATGAAAAATGTCAAAAAAGGGTGGGGAGAGGGGGAGAAGAATCTTTCTAATTAGGTTCAAAGCTTTGTGCTACCATCACAGAGCACTGTTACTTTTTGTATAACGGAGAGAAAATCTTTCCCACCCATTGCTCATGAAGAATACAGATGTGACTTTATAATCACTACTTGGGCTCTGTTCTTTCTGAAATTATATTTATTTCCAGTACAAACTGAAAAGCCCATTGATCTCAAAGGATTAAACTACCAGCAAATAAAAGAGAAACATTACTTTCAGTTTAAGATTTTCTTTTTTGTGCAAAGGAGTACTTAAATTGGAGGAGGAGGCATGTTCATTTTCTTTAATTCTTTTCACCTTGTCTATATTTTTAGTCAATGCTTTGTTATTTTGGGTTCTTTTCTCCTTACGGATAATATGATGCTTAATACCTAGGACCTTGTCTACAGCAACATTAGGGCTCTGACAGCTTGAACACTGTTTATGTGGGTCTGGTTAACAGAAAGCAGAAGGGACAGAACAATTTTAATAGTTTCAAGGTAAATTTCAACAGTTTTCAGGACAATCTTGACCTTATCTTGGAGGAGTTTGATGAGTACAGAGAGAACAGGAGCAATGATCACCTTCTGCATTTATACACACATACCCGTGCTTATCCACAAGTGTCCAAGCACTCTGCAAAAGAAGGTTGTCACCATTTTACAAATGGGGAAAGTGAGGAACAGGCAAGTAAAGCAACTTGTCCAATGCCATACTAAACCAATGCCAGGAATACAAACAGAATCCAGGTTTCCTACAGTATCATTAGCTACCTCAGCAGAAATACGCAGAATGGGAATGAGTCCATACTCAGCAAATTTAGGAAAGTGGAGCAAGTGCTGTGGAAAGCTCTTGGTGGAGTGGCTTTTCTATGCTGTCCTATTTGCTAACCTTCCAGCTGCCTGATCTTCAAAGAACATCCTGCAGACTCCACTGCTCTTGCTATATATATATTTTCTCCCCTCTTGTTTAGGGGTAGATGAAGGATTCCCATCACCATGTCTAGAAATGCTGAATGCTGATCAGATAAAACTTGAGGCAACCACTTGGAAAAGCAGGCATACATATACACGGACACCTAGCTGGTATGGGGGGGATGATATTTAATGGTTATTGGCATTTTGACTGTCTGCTCATAACTAGAAATGGTCCTCAATCATATAATTCAGACCTGGATGTCTAATTCCAAAAAGACTGGCGGTGTTTGAATTTTATCAGAGTGAAAGAGAAATAGAAGTACAGCTATGAGGGATGACTTGAAATGCCACTTTTTTAGGGCTATTTAGATACAGGCTAGGCTCATCTCTGAATGTAGCAATGAATATTACTGGTCACTGATACCATGACTTTTCATGCTTAAATCTCAGTGCTTTACCAGCATGAGCAAATTTCATTACATCCATTTTACAGACAGCATTTCTGAAGCACAGGAAACTGAAATGACTTATCCAAAGGAATAGTGAGATTGCTGGGTCTGCTACAAATTGGGTCCGATGTCTCCTGGATTTCAGTAGTGACTCCTGTCTGCCTGTTTTTCACTCACATTTTGGCACAGAGCTAATTTGTCAGGATTGAATGAACTACTCTCCCCAACCCCTGCTACAGAGAGACCTGCAATACAATTTTCTATCTGACAAACCTGTAAGATTTGGAATGGATTTTACATTTTTTCTAACTAGTTGAATGGTGCTCATGTCCCTCTGGAAGCCCTCTATAACAGTTCACATTGATTCTTTAATGAGGGCAAAGCTGATGAACTACATCCTTTTATGTAGCTGAACTCTGCCTGCAAATCTCTTGGGCTTCCCACAGATGTTTCTGCTTTTGACAACTATGGGAACTTCATGGATTATTTCTTTCCTCACTCCCAAGAGCAAATGCTGGGGCTGTTGATATCTGGAAACATACTTCTCACCACCAAGAACAAAGCATTAGCTCCATACTGGCCCAAAAAGCAACTTGTGGTTCATAAGCACAGTTTGCTGGAAACCACGAAGAGTTACCAACCATTCAAAGCAGACAACATTCAGAAGCCCTATTGTAACGATTATTGTGTAGTTATAGATTGGATTTTTCTTTTAAAACCCAATTTATATGGACTTTATATAGATATGAAAAAGTCTGTTTTCAGCATCACAATAATCTGAATTGTGGAAATGCAAATTATTTCAATAGAAAATAAATAAAAGGAAATTAGTTTATCTTCCCTTTTCCTGAATCATCTGTTTTTTGCACTTAAGTGAACTCAAAGAGAAACTTTCTTAGAGCTTATTTAGGTTTTTTTTTAATATATATTTCCCTTATCTATATCCCTCTTTGATTTGTTTAGTTCTGACTACTTCCTTGTGTGATATGCAGAGTCAAATTCTCACTCCAAGCTTTCCTGAGAAGAGCCAGGGCCTCACCAATCTTCTGTTGTTTATTTTACTGTCTCTTGATTTGTTTTATCTGTTTAAAAAGCATTCATCCATAAGCACTGAGCATCCTGCCTGCTATTTGCAATTGCAAAATATAATACAATCAGATTATACTCTACCAAGCTGCAGTTCATAGCGAAATGTTTATATATTCCTATATGTTAGCCTGTTCTACCACTGTCCTACCACTCTTCAAAGGCCAGAAAACACAAATGGGTCCCTCAAAATCCTAGCCATAGTGAATAAAGGGTAAGAGCCATTCCAGAGTCCTTTGAGAGAACCCTTTCCCAGCATCTCCTTTCTATTACATCAAAGGGGATTTTGTGTTATCACCTCTGCTGACTGCAGGAGTTTCAGGGCATCGGTGGAAAAGAGGCTACCCCACTGGGAATGGCTGGCATCAAGCAATTTAGGAGTTTATGGGTTAAACCTGAAATTTCTATTGAGAAGCTCATAAATAACCAGTTGAGGCCCTTGAGTACAGGTGCCCAGGTGCTCTCCTTGAGACATTCCACTAAAAACAGGGCACCTCCTGGCTGTACCAGTGTTCAGCCAGGTCCATTACACTATGCTTGGTGAAAGTGAAAATTACATTTTGCTGCACCTCAAAAAGTGTTTAGAGAGGTAGATTTGGCACTCCTGTACAATTCTTTAGGCCAGGCAAGACAGGCATAGGGCAAGGATTTCAGCCATCATCCCTCCTCTCCTGTGTGCTTGAAGGATGCTGATGATGCAAGGGCCCAAAGCTGTAGCAATGAGTGTAGAGCTGCACCAGTGCACAGTCCAGATGTTTGGTCTTTGTATCCATGAAGCTGAAACTGTTTCACAAACATTGAATTAATTAATTAACCAATCCCATCACACCATGAGGTAGGGAGGTATTAATATTGCCATTGGGTGGGTGGGAAAATAAAAGCACAAAAGAAGTTATGGATCTGCTTAAAGCTAAGCAGAGAACGAGTGGTAGAACTTCAGTAGCAAAATATTTAAAAAAAAATCCTGTTAAGTATCATTGAGGATTAACATTTCCTTGGGCTGAATATTTTTTCTCCAGCCATTCTCACTACATGTAGCATTCTTGCCATATTGTATTTACACTTGCAACAAAATGCTGTTGAACTCTCTAACAATAGATCCCAAAACACAGCTGTGTCAGGACCATAAGATGCAATGTCTTGCAGCCTCAGCAACTGATGCTGTAACATTTTTTAAATGATGGATTTAGTTTGATCTTGTGAACAGAGTTTGCAAATGTCTGCTGCAAGAGCTGAAAATAGGACTGGGTGAAATTCACAAATTAAGGCCTTGTAATTTAGGTTGTCCCACACCTGGTTGTAAATTTTGCAAAAGAGCTTTTTTTTGGAAAGAAAATATTGAAGCTTCATGTTTGTACAGAAATTAATTAGCTTTCACACACAAGTGTAGGCACAAAAACCTTTCCTCTACAAAGTGGCACTCTGACTGAAGTCACTAACGTTTACAAAATGCTCCTGGAAAATATTTGACACCACTCCAAGTCACTGTTTTATAGTAGAAAAAAGCCAAAAAGGGAGATTGTTGTTTGGTTTCACCCTTGACTTTCTTACCATCTCCAACAGGGTCAAGAGCAACTGACTGTGCTTCCTGACTGTATTATAAGCTCGACAACAAAGCTCCACAAATTCTTGGAAGCGCTGAGGGCTTTTTCCACCTTCTGTGATGAAATACTCCATCTCTGAAGTAAAGATGAAAGGAGCTCGGTCCCTTGGGGAAAAAAACAAAATACAAAGACAAATGTCAAAAAAGGAAAAATAATGTAAGAGTTAATTATTTTAACTCACAACTCATATTTGGTTTTCCGCTATTCCGTTCCTCATTATTTCTTTTTCTCCTGTTCTCTATGTGCAGATGACTTCATTGCTACACTCAGTGACACTGACTAATTGTGGCAGAAACAGATCTCACAGTGAAATCATCTTAGTAAAAACTGTTATGCAGCAAACTGGTGAGGCCAACAACTGAAGAAGAATCTCCTTTTAAACTCTTGTTGCTTTAATTTCCTTACTCCCTGCCTGAGCATAAATGTCTTGAAGCATACCTCACCTGGCATTAAAATATTTAAATGCCATATTTGAATAGACTGGGATCCAAACATAACTCCCTACTGGGAAGGAAATACATTTAAAACAAAATCAGAACTGAACTAGCATGCAATTCATTTCTTTTTTTCCCTTCAGTACACTTTTGGGAAAGGCTGGTTCTGATCTCAGCTTCACCAAAATAAACCCAGAAAAACTCTACTACCTCTGTACAGTTGCAGTGAGTACACACTGGTGTAAGCTGAAAGTAGACCTTGGTCTCCTTGGCTTGCTTTTTTCCCCTTTTTAATAACATATGTTTTTTTGTGGCTACATTATGGTACTGCAGGAGAAAATGACTCAGAGTTTTGCTAACAAACCTATCATTTGATAGCTTTAGTATAGCTTAACACACTGTACTGTAGCACACCCAGAGCTAATACAGGATTTTATTCTAAGTGCAGATACAAATAAAAGTAAACAGAACAGAGACTTATCAACTAAGGAGATGTATGCAGTGGGTTGGGTTTAACACTTTTCATTATATACAAGCTGGAGCTAACGCCCAGAATCCAAATATTAGTGAGGAGGCTTCATGTTCAGATATCAATTCTAGATTTCAAGCCCATCTCTAGGAAAAATAACTCCCATAGTGTTGAGAATCAAATTTCAATAGGAATTATTTTTCACTTGCCTCAGGCCCTGAAAAGGGGCATGAAGAGTCAAAGGGTGAGATTAGCAAGTTGACCAGCAATGCTGGTTAGAATGCCCAACTTGGTTATCTCAGTGGATTAGGAAAAATGACAATCAAATTAACAGTATTAATACAACACAGGGGTGTAGGTTATAGCCATGTTGGTCTAAGGACATAGGCAGACAAGGTTCTTTGGGTGAATCTGATATCTTTTATTAGACCAACTTAAATAGATGGAAAAAAAATTTAAGCAAGCTTTCAGGTTTAAAAACCCTTCATCAGGCTGAGGAAGTTTCTGCAGTTGGTGTGTGCTCTTCCTGGATGGAATGAAAAATAAAGCAGCTAGAGGCTGGGCTGGTATGCATACAAGATAGGCAGTCAATGAAGATGTAAATTGAGGAGTCAGTGGGTGAGACAGGCTCGGTGTGGGGGGAAAAGGGGGATGAGTAGTGGAGTGGTACCTGGGGAGTCAGATGTTAGGCAGGTTATAATGCGTCATAAATGCAATGTCTATATTTCATAGTTTCATAGTAGCTAGAGTCAGGAGGGCCCTGAACAGATCATCTAGCCTGACCCCCTGCCAGAGGCAGGAATGAATGCTGGGTTCACAAGACCCCAGACAGGTGATCATCCAAACTCCTCTTGAATTTGCCCAAGGCAGGGGTGAGGACCACTTCCCTGGGAAGCTGGTTCCAGATCTTGGCCACCCTAACTGTAAAATATTGCCTTCTGATCTCCAACCTAAACCTATTCTCCATCAGCTTATGACCATTGTTCCTTGTCACCCCAAGTGGTGCTGGGGAGAAAAGGGCTCTACCTATTTGCTGTTGATCTCCCCTGATGAGCTTGTAGACAGCCACCAGGTCCCCCCTCAGCCTCCTCTTGCTGAGGCTGAACAGGTTCAGGTCTCTCAGTCTCTCCTCATAGGGCCTGTCCTGTTGCCCTCTCACCAAGTAGGTGGCCCTCCTCTGAACCCTCTCCAGACTGGCCACATCCCTTTTGAAGTGCGGCACCCAGTACTGGACGCAGTACTCCAACTGTGGCCTGAGCAAAGTCGCATAGTGGGGGAGTATCACTTCTCTGGACTGGCTTGAGATGCATCTTTGGATACATGACAAGGTATGGGTGGCCTTGCTGGCTGCGGTCTGGCACAGGTGGCTCATGTTCATCTTGGAGTCAATAATGACTCCGAGATCCCTTTCCACCTCTGTGCTTTCAAGAAGGAAACTCCCCCGCCTGTATGTATGCTGTGGATTCCTTCTCCCAAGGTGCAGCACCCTGAATTTGTCTATGTTGAATCCCATCCTGTTCTCGTCTGCCCACTTTTGTAGTCTGTCTAAATCTAGTTGCAGCCTCTCTCTCCCTTCAAGTGTGTCCACCTTGCCCCACATCTTAGTGTCATCAGCAAACTTGGACAGC